AAATAAATGGCCCTTAGCTTTCTTCCAAACTATTTAATTCTTTACCAGTGGTTTGGTGGGACAGTCTAGAAATAGAAGTAACTTAAAGTTTTTATGGGCAATATCTCCTGTGTTAAGTGCCGGGGGCTCTCAACCGTGTTTCTGCCCCAACACACAGGAAGGATACAGAGCTCCTATAGTAACAGTGGCTAGGTGCAACAGTAATTCTCTAAGGGAAACCTATTTAAACTTAAGAAAAAACAAAGGTGTGGGACTGCACCCTTCTCCCAGGGGGGCATGAGCTCTTGGGTGTAAAATCAAAAGGGTACCCTGAAATATAAGCAGTCTTCAGTCTACGCACAGGCAGTTACTGTCATTCCGGACTTGGCTCCCCTGTGCCCCATAACTTAACGCCCTGCTTCCGGAGAATGGGGGGCAGTGCTGCCCCAACCTCCCTTCCTGTATTATTCAGTAGTCTGAAGAGGCCCTGCTCCTTGAATGAGCTAGCCCTTCGCGGCAGCCACTACCTACTGTTCTAATTATTGTTGCTGTCACTCCCTGAGCCTCTAAGAGAACCTCCTGCACCCCTTATAAGAACATCCTGCTGCTGGAGCCACTGCCATAGAAGTGAGGTTTTCTGCCAAGGAAAGATGGGACTGGGCCACACTCACTTGCCACTGGGGCAAGCGAAGATGTATTTCTGATGTCTGGAGTTAGAACCCGGAAGGCATCTTCCAGTATGTAAAATGTTATGAATGGTGGTTAAGTTTTGCGGCACCATACACCAACAATATTGTATTAGTTTGCAAGGCTGCCAGAACAAAATACCACAGACTGGGTGGCTTGAACAACAGTAATTTATTTCTTACAGTTCTGGAAGCTAGCAGTCCAAGATCAAGGTGTTGGCAGGGTTGCTTCCTCCTGAGGCCTCTGTCCTTGGCTTGCAGATGGCCGCCTCCTCGCTGTATCCTCACATGGCCTTTCCTTCATGTGCATGCATCCCTGGTGTCTCTGTGTCCACATTTCCTCCCCTTCACAAGGACACCAGTCGTTGCAACAGGATGCCCCCTAACAGCCTCATCTGAGCTCGGTTACCTCTTTAAATACACCTCCTTAAGTCTCCACCTACAGTCACATTCTAAGGATATGGGATTAGAGTTTCAACATGTGAGCTGGGGGAAGGAGCATGATTCAGCCCATAACAAGCATTATGGGTCAGTAGTCTCATGGGGACTACTTGGGAACATAACTACCACTTAGGTAATTGTTTCTGGGTTTCAGACAACTGACTTTCAAACAAATCTGGAAACGGCATTCCAAATAAATCATGGGGCCCTGCCTATTAAAAGGTAGGAGGGTACTGCACAATCGGTTACTCACATCCACTAAATACAGAGTACTCCCTCAGGGGAGTTGCAGGGCGTGCTGGTGACTTCAATCCAGACGGCTATATGAAAAGAACTTAGTAACTGGACCTTTCTTAAAAAGCTGTGTAATCGACCATAAAGGCACATAAAGCATGAAGCAGATACTTGTTTAGTGAATGAATGAAATCAGGAACTTTCTGGAGGTATTTTACATGGTATGAATGTTATCTTACTGCTTTGTCTACTAATTTTCATACAAGAGACCACCTAGGCACAAAAGAAAATCTCTCTACCTGGTATATGCCCTCCTGGGGAAAGTGAGCCTTTAGTTTTAACACTTAACGGATCTTGCTGTAAATTGCAGTGATGCTCAGTAGCCCTAAAGATTAGGTTTTGTTTGATGGATTAGGTTTTAATGTTATCAGACTAAAAAAAAAAAAAAATCTTACTGTTTTCTTCTTTTTTTTTTTTAAGATTTTATTTTTAGGCAATCTCAACACCCAATGTGGGGCTCAAACTCACAATCCCAAGATCAAGAGTCACATGCTCCACTGACTGAGCCAGCCAGGCACCTCTTTTTTTTTTAAGATTTTATTTATTTAAGATTTTATTTGAGAGAGAATGTGAGCAAGAAAGAGAGAGAGCATGAGCGGGGATGGAGGGAGCGCGGGGAGTGGCAGAGGGAGAGGGAGAAGCAGACTCCTCTGAGCAGGGAGCCCGGTGTGGGGTTCGATCCCAGGACTCCGGGATCATGACCTGAGCGGAAGACAGACACTTAACTGACTGAACCACCTAGGTGCCCCTAATCCTACCCTTTTCTAATGTAATCCCTAAGCCAGAGGTCAGGTGCTAACATCCTATTGCCAATTTAACAGAGAAGAATGATATGATAGTGGCTTAAAAGTAGTAGGATGGGATGTTTAGTAAAGCTCCTGCCTATGTGCCTGAAATTTCACTGTTCAATTTATTCCTTTGAATCAATTATCCCTCCAAGGTATTGCCTTTTTAAATGCAGATATTTCTAGGAAGGCTAGGATGTGGACATCATCACCTTTGCATGCCTGAGGTACCCAAACACCAGAATGATAAGAACAGTGAGTAACTGGGGAAAGTTCAAAAAAAGGACCAAATTGCCAGATTAAAAACTAGATTAATCTCCTTCTCAGTGTAACCCCAGCCTGGTGATAAAATATCATTATACTTCAGATTCTCTGGATTTTAGGCTATTTGGTACATCCAGAATATATGGGAAATCACACCAACCTTTTGTGAGTGTTTAGCCTAAATTTGAACCAGTAGATATTATTCCTAAAAGTCTGTTTACCACAGATGGATGTTAGGATGCACCTAGCAGGAAGGTAGGGAATCATCAAAAAGCTAAGGTATTGGGTTTTCTCTAGCATCCTATGATGAGATGCAGTGGAAATATTCATGAGATCTGAAAAACTCCTCTAACTAGAAATAGCCTGCAGGCGCTCAGTGGGGATCACTGTTCTTAGAGTGTTTTATCAGGAATGAGCTATATTTATTCACAGGCAAAGCTGGAGAGAATTTAGAGATCTTCGAGTCACGTCCCCCTCTTTTTTTTTTCTTTTGCACACAAGAAGGCTGAGGCCAGAGAGGTAAAGTGACCTGCCCAAGATGATAAAGCTAAGTGACACAGTAGGGACTGGACATTTCCTTCCATTTCAGACCTTTTCCCACTATTGCACCTTGAAGCCCCCTTTGGAAGGAAATCCTCTTAGCCGGTCAGAAGAGGCCCTAGTAGTAATGGTACTCTCCTCCAGTGATGGGAAACCATCTGCATGATGCTGCAAGGCCATTTTTGCCTTCTAGCCCAAGCAGAGTATGTGTCTGTAACGGACCACGGCACAGAGATGCACATCTGCTCCTGCATTGTGCACAGACCAAGCCCTGTGACTTTCTCTGGGGGAGAAAAGTGTGTGGTAGACCACTTAAAATACCTGTTAAGAAGTTTCTGTAACGTCCCTCAGGGCTGCAGCTTTGCCAACACCCCTCTTCCTCCCTGCACACTCAGTTGAACCCTTAGCGTTCAGCTCTTATGTACCAGCTAGGGTAGTGCCCACAGGCAGCAGTCCTGTAGGCACTGGGGATTACTGGAAAGAGCCCCATGCAGGACTTGCTGGGGTGTTTATTTGGCCTCCTTGGGTTCTGTGTGGTGGGATGATTCCATGACTTCTCCATCTTCTCTTGAAGAGCTCATTTTCTCACTTGGCTGCTTCTGAAGGTTGAGTTCACCTCCCTCTCCAGCTGCTTCCTCAGGAAGAGAAGCAGAGAGAAAAGATCTGGTGACCCTTCCTTTTAATAAGCTAGGTGAAACCTCCCAGAAGTACTTGCTTTGGTGTGGACTTTCCTTCTCAGGCTTGGTCATTCCTTCCATGTGGAAATGAAGCTGGGTGAAGCCACTTGAGCTCTGGACTGATGTGGCTTTGCCTACACTTTCTGGGGGAACTATGCTCATGCGTGTGGTCAGCCTTACCATTCACTGAGCCAGGTTGGACTGGAAATGTCCCTGGAGTCTCTCATTCTCACCCTTCTTCACCTAAATAAACACTGACGGCAAAATTTTCTGAGCATTAGAAGGCTATGGGACTATTTTTCTTTCAACCTCAACCATCCCCAAGAACTTTCGAATCACATCACGTATTTTCTTCCCTTTAGCAATCCAAAATTAGTTACATAACAACTCCAGACCCCTACCTCATCTCCAACCTTCTCCATGTCACATGAGACCCGATTTACTATATCGCTGCATTATGCCTGCCCCTCACAGCTGCTCATGGTCCTCCATAAGACGGCCATATGTACCCAGGGGAATCACTGAGAACAGCCCACATGACTCCAGAGCCTTGGTCAGCAATGGCACCCCTTCCAAGACCCTTCTAAATTACTGGGCCAGCAACTCGTACCACACTCAAGGGTCATTTTGTCATCTCACTGAGGAGTCAGGAAACACCACCCAGGGAATGTATCAAGTTGTCAGTAAAAAAAAAAAAAAAAAGAAAAACTCAAGCAATATCCATAGTTTCCTGTGGGAGGCTTTCCAGTCTCTCCCTGCCACACTTACCCCAGAATCAGATCCAGGTGCTGGAAACAGCGCACAGCAGTCCTGGACATGAGTGTGCATTGAACACATGCCACTGTGGTAGAGGAAATTTCCTTCTCTCTTCCTGCGTGGCCAGAGAGATGAGCTGGAACTGGATCAGGCTTTGTGCTGGTTTAGCATTAAAATCTCAGCTGCAACAAAGCCTTGTTCTTACCGCCCTGACAGTTTCAGCTTTAGATTTCTTATTAGTTGTTTGGGTTTTGTTTTGTTTTTTTTTCACCCTCTCCCTTTTGACACTTTTCTTTTCTGAGAGCCAAACCAAATACACTGGGCTGGCTAGGTAGCCTGTCTGTGTCTGCGATTCCCAGAACTCTGCTGCTGTTCTGATGGATCCTTTTGGCAAGGAGGGAAATTTTTCTCCATTTTGATAATGACAGGCCCTTCATTTTAATGTCTCTATTTACGTCAGTTAACAGATTTCTAAGAGATAATGTGAGATACTACCAATCAACTTAGGCAACCATATTAAAATTCTGCCTAACTGGAAAATATGGTTCTTTGTTTATAACACTCTACACTTTCTCAAGTCTCAAGTACTACTTCAGCAAGTCTTTGGACTGGTAAAGCCTTGTGGAGACCATCCCATCCATCTCTCTGCCTCAGGTACGTGCTTCATGTGAGCACCCCACCCAGATGGGTAACTGGCTGGTTCTTTTCAGCTTTACTGAAGTAAAATTGACAAATAAAATTCTAAGATGTTTAAAGTGTACAATTTGATGACTTGATATACATTGTGGAAGGATCCCCCCCGCCGTGAAGTTAATTAACACATCCATCACCTCACATATTTACCTTTTTTTTTTTAAGTTCTACTCACAGCAAATTTCAATTATACAATACAGTGTTATCAACTATAGGCTTGTTCTCTGAGTGGGATGATACGTCACAGTTCCCTTGATGTTCCAGGAACATTCTTACACTAAAGATGACTCCCCATTCTCTTGTATCAGGGACCAGACAGACCAATGTAAATCTTGGGTTTTATGGGGGTTTTCTGTTCCCACTTTTAACTTTTGCAGACGTGTCTTCTGCTTTCTTGCCATACTCCTCTGTTCACTCCCTTCCTTCACTTGCTCCGAGAAGGTATAACACCTATATCAAGATACAGTCTTTTAGGAAAGACAGTAACCTGAGAGGTTCTCACAGGTACAGAATACCACACAGAAAACATTTAGATTGTCTCAGCAAGGGAAGAATGCTTTAGCCAGGAAAGCAGCAGCCAGCATTTTTGAGGCGTCTAGACATAAGTAGCTTAGAAATTAAAATGTTGGTGACATCTGCAAATAAAAAATAGAGTTCTCAGAAAGCAGCGATTTGTGCTGGTTTATGTACAGATAAGTGTCTAAATCTGGATTGTCACATCATTGTACTTGCCTGGTTCCAGCTCTGCTGTATGTAAGGAGATTAATTTAGAGTGGCGGGTGCTAGCAACATGTGTTTTGGTCCCATAAATCTGTGGGACCCCAATTCATTTTACCACTTATACCTGGGTTACTTGACCTCTCAGTTGTTGCCTTTCACAAAATCATGACTGACTCTAACTTTGAAAAGAATAGTAAGCAACAATGAACAATATGACATTTTTTTAAAGAGAGCATGAGCAGGAGGGGCAGAGGGAGAGAGAATCTGAAGTAGACTTTGCGCCGAGCGTGGAGCCCAATGCGGGGCTTGATCCCACAACCCTGAGACTATGACCTTAGCCGAAACCAAAAGTTGATGCCTAACCAACTGCGCCACCCAGGCACCCCAATATGACAACTTGTAAGAGGTCTGATAGTTCGCTAGCAAGACCAGATTTCTTGTAGAACTTTCCTCTGAGGCAGGGGAGACTTCCTCTTTTCTATGGAGACCTTTTGCATCTGGACACAGTAGAGTTAGAGCCCCTAGCCACTTAGTGGTTGGGCTTGAAGGATAACACACAAGTGTTCCTGAGGCAAACACTTCAGTCAGTCTTAACTCTGCTGGCCACTGTACCTCCTTGGGCCTTGGTTGTCTGACTTGCAGGGCTAGAGAATTGAACTGGTAGTTCTTAGCTCCCTCCCAGGTTTGTGATTCTCAAGTTCAGAATCAGTAGTTCTACTGTTTGATATTTTGTCGGGGAGGGTGTTAGTGTAGAAAACTAAGTACAGGCTTTGTGTTAATACAGGTTCACTAAAAATCTTAACGACTTACTTCCGTCCGAGCTGGGGAGCTGCCTGTGGGGCACTGCAGGATTTTCAGAGCTACGGCTAAGGAAGAGAGCAGCTCCTGAGTTGCTTTTGTTACTGTTTTCTTTTTAACCTTTGAAAACTAAAGGTAAAAATTACATAGAGAAATCTAGCTATCCCAAGGCATATGGCATGCATTCATTCAATAAATATTTGGGGAGCACCTACTATGTGCCAGGCATAACATGCTCTTGAAAGTACTAGAAAATACTAGAAAGTAATTTATGATTTTCTTGCTTTTTGGGGGGGGGGCAGCAAAGCAAGGTTTATTGAATGATAGCAAAGCAATAGTACAAAGCTCCCGAGGAGGGAGGGGACCCGAAGGGGTTGCCCTGATTTTCTTGCTTTGAGAGGCTTAAGTACCTGGGGTTCCCTCCTACCTTAATGCTTCTGTCATGAGGGAATGAAAGGAGGAAGTTCCTTTGGCAATATAAAACCAAATGATTCTTGGGAAGATCACTGGACTATATCACACTGTTCAGCAGTGGAATTTTGAGTGTGGGTCATGTATATACAGGTCCCCTTGGTGGAATGGAGCTAAACTCTTGTTTTTATTATGCCATTTTGTTTAAGATTCGTCTTGGAAGAGCAGCAACATCTTATTTACTTTTTGGCCTAAGACAACAAATAGCCTTTCCTTCCTTTTTTTTTTTTTTTTTTTTTAAGATTTTATTTATTAGAGAAAACATGAGACAGCGCAAGGCAGAAGGGGGAAGACGGGGAGCGGGGGAGGCAAAGGGACAAGCAGACTTGTGCTGAGCGTGGAGCGCACTCCAGGGCTCAATCCCATGACCCCGAGACCATGACCCCAGCCGAAATCAAGAGTTGGCCACCATCAGACTGAGCCACCCAGGCGCCCCTAGCCTTTCCTTCTTATGAGAACAAAATCAGTCATTGCCTGACAAAGGAGTTCATTACAAGTTAGGGAGGAGAAGGCCCATAGCAACCTCATGATCATGACCACTTCCACTCAGCATTGCACAGAGCCTAGGGCCGTGGTGGCTTTGCTTCAGGCTCAACATGCCAAGCAACTGGGGCAGATGGAGACTTCAGGAAGAAAACTAGGAGATTCAAGCTGCAAGCTGACTTGAAATACCAAGAAAGAAAGGATTTTGGAGTTAATCTGTGGGAAATAATCATGGGACAAATATTTCAAGAGCAACTTTAGTTTTCCCTGGTACTAAATGCTAGAGGGACTCTACAGAGTGAAAAAGTGGCCAAATACCTGCTGAAAAGTAAATGACTAGACAAGAAATACCCACCATGTGCTCCCTCTGACCACATGCATTTTATGTTTTATCAACAGATATTGTGGCAAAAGGCATTTCATTTTATTCTAGTTTTTCGAAAATCCAAACTCAGAAGTTCTTTCATGTCTTCATACCTCCTAAGCAGATGTGGTTGCACAGCCTGCTGATTGGGGCTGGGGGGCTCTAGCCCCGATCTGGCCAGCATAGAGAACCATTTCAGCTTGATCCATCACCTCCGAAAGGCTCCAATTACCATGCCAGTTACCACCTCAGACCTCATGGCCTATGCATCCTGGGACCTAGCTATTAAAAACCTCAAGTTCAGATTCTTTTCTACTTCGACCAAACTAAGCATCTCTGTATAATTTCCTGCCCACTGCAAAACCATCTCAGAAAGGAATTAATCTGAGTCACTGCCAACCACAACTGAATTCATTCAGTTCCATCTCTTGTAACAATATCCTTTCTTCATATCCATCCATACATTGTCTTCTTTCACCTCACCCCCCTGTGACTATGAATAGAGCTCTTCACCTTGAAATAAAGCTATTTTCTCTCCTTTAAGACTGTCTAATTTTGTGAATTTCTGTTCGCTCTCCCTATGCCTTTGCTTGGCTATGAAGAGATATGGTAGGTATTCTGAAATCATGACCTGTGTTGAGCAGTAAATGTTCTGGGGCAATTTCCCTGAACCAGTCAGCCCATCCCTCAGCTGTACATCTTTTTTTTTTTTTTTTTTTTTTTTTTTTCCCTCAGCTGTACTTCTGTTCCTCCATCCAGCCTAGCTACGTTCCTTATTATTCTTCACACCATTAGAACCATCCTAACATTGAAAGCAGGAAGGGAACTCGATTGGCTTCCCTTACAACTAGCCTCTTATAACAATATTTTGGATGGGTGTGAGGTTGTAGAACATCATCTCTGAAATACCTAGTTTCTTTCTGAGCTTCCCGTCTGCCTGTCCCCTGAGCAGTGGTGGAGGCTGAAGCATTCTCTCCTTCCCTTGTGTTCACACACTTCTAGTGTGTGTTGCTTCGAGCATTCAGATTGAGTTGCTTTTGCATTTGTGATTCTTGGCTCGAGTCCCTCTAGAAATCATATTACTACTCTGAGTTCAGGGAGGGCTGGAATAGCTACTAAAAACAGAATACATTATAATAACATTCAGCAGACAAAGCCAGAAAATTCCTGCCAGAGACCACCTTAGTATCCTTTACTTGGCCCATATTCCATTTTTTGAGAACTTTAAACCAAGTGAGACGCCACAGTATACAGTTTATGTGCCCTGCTGTAAGGTCTGCATCATCACACTGTCTTGATTTTGAGATGCTTCACATTTTATCTTAAAAAGCTCTTTGGAAAGTTCAGTGTTTTCCCTCCAGAATTAGGATGTTCCTTCGCTTTATACTCCAGTCACTTCTCAATCGCCAGCGTTGGACAAGGTATTTTGCTAGGCAGCACTGGTATGTAAAAAAGAACCCGTCAAGGAATTTGAAGAAGAGTTGGGGAATTAAACAAATCGCCAACTCTTGAAACACAAGACAAAATTAATACTTTAGCAATATTTACCTCTGAACAGAGAAGGCTTCACAGAGAAGAGACCGTTGCGCTCAGTCATGAAGGATGAATAACATAGGGAAGAGAGGTGTGTAGGAGGGAAGATGGTCCGCATTCTAGGACGAGGGAAATAAATCAGAATAAAAGCAAAGATGAGGGCATATACCGGGAGGCTAGATGCATATGGCAAGGCTATCCCAGGAGATGAAATTGGGAAAGTAGGATGAAGTCAGATTGGACTCTCTTTTGTAAGTAGGAAATCATTTAAGATATTGGAAGAGGAGGAGGGAACCTCATCCAACCTGTTTTCAGAAAGAGTGCTCTTACAAACCAAGGTTGACGTACTTGTGAAGCTATTACAATAAGCGAAAGATACTAGAATAAGAGAGTTTATGTTAGGGCTGTGACCAGGAGATCAGCAAGGAAGAAACTAAACCAAAAGAAACATAGCCTGGAAAGGGTGTTAACAGGAATTTCCTGAAGAAGAAATGGCCAATAAATATATTTATAAATGTTTGGCCTCAATTTTTGGCTTCACTACAAATGAAAAGAATTACAAAGAACTGCAAATGAAAATAGCCTTGTCATA